AAATTCAAAATAGAGAAAAACAAAGTATGATATAAGAATAAATAGAACTGTGGGAAGATAAAATAAGAAAACAAGGGAAGGGAAAGAGATAAGCAGTGATGAGTTTAAATGGAGGTAGAGATGAGTTAAATTTGAAGGATTCATCTGAAACATAAAGACACGACACTCTAATCTTTTCATATTGTTCTTTTCCCAAGGCAACAGTTCTTTAACAAATTCAATATTTTTTCAATAAAGTGGTCCAATCCAAAACTAGACCTAAAGCCATGCCGATTCTTGGTTCGAACGGTTCAACCACCCAGCCAATGTTGTTTTCAAAACAGTGGAGAGAGGCATCAAGTTCTTGCCTTTTTTTGTAAAGCTTAGTGCTTTCTTTTGAGACTTAAGTGAGTCCTCTCTCATATATGAGTAAGTCCTTAACCTTGTTGTCTCATTGTAATGTATCTCATATTAATAAAGTTTCATCTACTTTTTGCTTCCCTTTTTATTTCTTTTTAGTAAGTTTTTTTCTTTTTCTTTCTTCATACACTGCAACAATTGGTATTAGAGTTTAGTTGAGTTAGAGCTTGTAACTTCATTGCTTAACTCTCTTTCTTCATCCAAAAATAATGTTGTAATTCTAGAAAATAGGGCAAATGATAACCTAATTTTGGTAGTGAAATCTTCATTAAATTGGATCATGTCATATATCTTTTTAAATCTCTTTAATTAAGTTTATTTTCTAAACCAACAAACAATTTTTCAATTAAAGTTTTCTACATAAAGTTATAGGCAATGAAACAATGATTGATGAAGCTATATACTACAATCAAATTCTTCAAAAAATGAGGTAATAAAGTTCCAACTCAAAATATCCATCTTCATGATGAAATCAATGAGCTTAAGAAAGCCTATAAAACCCTTGAATGCAAGATGGAGGAAATCTTAAGAACACTTCCCAAATAAACTTCAACAAGTAATATATTGGTCCAACTTTGTTTATAGAGCAAACTATGAAAGACTGCAATGACAATCTTATGTGGCAATTCTCATCAATGGTGTCTATTGAGCAAGAACATATTGATCGGAATATCTTTCAAAAATTTAGTTGAGCCTATAGCTTATAAGAATTCTTCCATCATCCATGATGAGTTTCAAAGCAAAAGAAACATCACTTTCTATGTTGAAGGTTTTGAATGCATCTTCTTTATTTAAAAGTACGAGGATCTTTTTTGGTAGCCATTTTCTCAATGTTTAGAATGGTTATTGAAGAAATAATTAGAAAATTTAAAGCACAAGAAGCATGTCCAAATAGTCATGAGGCATAATGAAGTAACCATAATCCAAATTGGATGTTTACACCATCAATTGCCTATGAAAGGGTCAATAACAAAGAAATGCAGTGGAGGCATGATGATAAATCATTCTTTAGAATTTGTTAAAACTTAAGGGCAAGTTCTATTCAAAAGGGTGAGATTACCATAGTTTAAAATTATGCTCTGAGAAGTGTCAAATCATTTTCAAAAAGTAAGACAAGTAGACCGACATTTGAACTCACTAATGTGCTTTTAATAGTCATTTTAATTAGTGGATTTCTGACAACTAGTTTTATTAAATGCTCCAATAGCTAGTTTTACATTTAATGTTTCAACAACTAGTTTTTGCTTTTTACATTAAGCCTTCTAATGATAAGCCAGAGGCATTTTGTTTTGTAAAAACTTAAAAAGCTTTCTTTTGAGAGTTGAGAGAGTCCTCTCTTGGATGATTGAGTCCAACTTTCTTCTTTCTCTTTTTCTTTTAAGAAAAATCCTTTTTCTTTCTCCATATTTGAGCTGCATTAAAAGAGGAAATTTTCTAAAATAAGAAATGAAACGGAAGAAGGAATTGAATAAAACTTTGTTAATATAAGTTAAACTACAATGAAACAACAAGGTAGAAGACCCACTCACCCAAGAGGGAACTCTATATATCAACTCTCAAAAAAAAAAAAAAAAACTCTCTAAGCTTTACAACACAAAGGAAATAATATGATACCTCTAACTTGAGCTTACGAGGCTTTATGTAGAAATAAAAAACTAGTTATTGAAGCATTAAGTGTAAAACTGACAATTTTACAAAGTTGTCATTAGAAACTCACTAACAAACTAGCTATTTGATACTTTTAAAACCTCATTAAAAAGTTCAAATATAGGCCTACTTTTCTTATTTTATGAAAACGATTTGATGCTTTTTAGAACATAATTTTATATTGCATTAATCTCCCCTTCTTGAAAAGAACTCATCCTCAAGTATTAAAAACTTCAAAAGAATGATATACAACTAAGCCTCTACTGCATTTCTTTATTATTGGCCCTTTGATAAGCAATTGCAATTAAACGTGTAAACCTCTAATTTGGATTATGGTTTCTTCATTATGCCTCATGATTATTGGAACATGCTTCTTATGCTTCAAATCAAGCTAATTCTTTATTCAACAACCATTCTAAACATTAAGAAAATGGTTGTAGAAAAGGATCCTCATACTCTTGAACAAAGAAGATGTGTTTAAAAAACCTTTAACATAGTGGTGTTTCTTTTGCTTTGAAATTTATCATGGATTATGGAAAACTCCATAAAAAATTATGGGACTATTCCAATCAACAAGATTGCCATTGCAGTCTTCCAAGATTTCCTCTATAAACAAAGTTGAATGAACATAGTTGCTTGTTGGAGCTTGTTTGGGAATCCTTCGTAAGATTTCCTCCATCATGTACTGAAGGCTAGCCTTTCTTAAACTCATTGATTTCATCACAAAGATGGATATCTTGAGTTAGGATCATATTACCTCATTTCTTGAAAAAAATCAATTGTAGCAAATAGTTCCATTGATTGTACTTTCATAGCTATAACTTTCATCAAAAAGATGGATATCTTGAGTTAGGAGGACTATATTACCTTGTTTCTTGAATATTTCAATTGTAGCAGACAACTCCATTGATTGTACTTTCATAACTATAACTTTCTATAGAAAACTCTGATTGACGAAACATTTGTTGAGCTTGAAAATTAAAAAGACTTAAAGAGATTTCTAATGATATATGACATAATCCAAATTGATGAACACTTATCTACCAAAATTGGTATGTCACTTGAATTATTTTCTTAAGCTCATTGATTTCATCTTGAAGATAAATATTTTGAATTGGGACCTTATTACCTCATTCCTTAAAGAATTAGGCTGTAGCAGACAACTCTGTTTATTATTCTTTCATTGCTTATAGCATTTTGTCAAAAGCTCTAATTGACAAACCATTTGTTCAATTAGAAAAAAAGACTTAAGGAGATTTTTAATGATATATGGCATGACCAAATTACATGAAGGTTTTTTACCAAAATCGGTATGTCATTTGATCTATTTTCTAAAATTGCAATATCTTTTGGATGAGAGAAAAGAGTAAAGAAATGAAGTTACAAGCTTTAATTCAACCCACTCTAACCAATGGTTGTAGCTCAAGTATGAAGAAAGAAAAAGAAAAAACGAAAAAAAAAAAAAAAAGAAGAAAATTGGATAGAACTTCATTAATGTAAAGTAGATTACAAAGTAGCAACAAGGTTGGGGATTCAATCACCCAAAAATGAAAGGATTCACTCACTCTTTTAAGAGAGAACTCTGTCAGATATTAAAAGAAAACTCTAAGCTTCATACAGAAAAAATAAAGAACTTGATGCCTCTAGGAGTCTTTGTATAGAAAACAAATACTAACTTTTGAAACATTAGAAAACTAAATGTTTGAACATTTAATAAAACTAGTCATTAGAAACCCACTAACAAATTAGTTGTTAAAAACCCTACCAAAATGAGTATTAAAAGCCTATTAGTGAGATCAAATATAGGCCCACATGCCTTTTTCCTAAAAATCATTTGATGCACATAAAAAAAGATGCTAAAATTTAATGAGACAAAAATGACCATTAAATAGGTGCAAAAAACAAAAAATGTACAAAGATAAAAATGAAAATAGGAGAAAGTTACTTGGACAAATAAGAACATAGGTAAATATGCACTAATTCAGATAAGTGCATTTACCCGTATAAGTGGCCTTATTGTGAATTACAGCTGATTTCGAAATCAAGATATCTGATAAGTTTTTCTTTTAAAAGATGATTACACTTGAGACTATTAATTCCACATGCAGTCTTATCTTGTTTATGCCTTTAAATGTTAGTAGACTAGACTAAATCTAGACCACCAAATGCTTTATTCAAGCAGCAACACAAGTAACACAAAATTATGCGTCAAAAAGTATAGAAATGGAGAAGAAAAAAAATCTATTTTGGGCTTAATTTACAGTTGTTTTGAATTATTTGTTTCCCAAGTTGGCCAGTTGTCATTAGGGGCATACCAGCAATTAACATAATTGAACAAGTACAACCCATTTTTCATGTAAAACACAATATTAATTGACTTTTACATTTAAATAATAACTTAAAATGTAAATTTTGATAATATAATTTTAAGAAAAATGATAATTATGAAATACTAAATTTTATATATATATATATATATATATATTAGTAAATTAAACATTTAACTAATATTATCATATATATTATTTATCAAATTTACCATTTCAAACATAAAATACAATAAAATTAAAAAGCATTATACACTTAATAAAATAATCAGTTTGGGTCGTAATTGGTTCGAAACAAATAAAAACTAGAAATTACCCAATTATTAATCAGGAGAAAATCATGGGACCAGAACCTACATAATCGGTTCAGCTCGGGTAGGGCAGTCGGGCAGAACCGACCCACTGACCGCTGTAGGCAGATTCCTTTTACTGGACTATAGAGTGACCCGAGTGAAGACCCGGCTTTCCAAGTAATGGATTGTTGACATCATCTAAAACTTGAAACCATCCATATATCCAATATTGCTTCACATTCCCATTATTCCTTGTAGATAATATTTAACCAACCAACCACCACCTAAGCAAACGAGCTGAGTATTCCTATATATCCCCTATGTCCAAAGCCATTAAAAGCTAGGAAATTTCCCCACCAAAACGAAGGCGTCCCCCCTCCTCCCTTCTCTTTCCATCTTCATCTCTTATTAGCTCTTTCTGCAACAAATTAAACCGCCTCCAAGGATTGCAGAAAGTATCAGAAAACCCAGATCCACTAACGGCCATGACTTCCCAGAGTTCCAAACCATGTCCTATCAAAACTGTGGTGATTTTAGTCCAAGAGAACCGCTCGTTTGATCACATGTTTGGATGGATGAAGGCCATCAACCCCGAGATAGATGGCGTTACAGGGAAAGAGTACAACTTGGTAACCACAACAGACGCCAACTCGAGCCGGGTTTACTTCGGGAATCGGTCGGAGTACGTTGACGCCGACCCGGGTCACTCGTTTCAGGCAATATACGAGCAGGTGTTTGGAGTCGCGTGGGGACACTCATCTTCGTCTAATATGGTTCCAAGGATGGATGGTTTTGCTCAGCAGGCAGAGAGTATACAGAAAGGGATGTCCCAGACAGTGATGAATGGGTTTAGACCAGAAGCAGTAGCGGTTTATAAGGAGTTAGTTTCAGAGTTTGCCGTTTGTGACAGGTGGTTCGCGTCGCTTCCGACTTCAACACAGCCGAACCGGATGTTCGTTCACTCTGCAACGTCGCATGGTTTTGTCAGCAATGATACTAAGAAACTGATCGAAGGGTTCCCGCAGAAGACAATATTCGAGTCTCTGGACGAGGCAGGGCTCTCGTTTGGAATATACTATGCCTCCCTTCCATCTACGCTTTTCTACAGGTAAGCCCTCAGTTTTCTCTGCTCTCTGAAACGAACTGTGTATGCTCATTCAATTCACTTTTCAAAATCACCTTTTGATTTTCATAAAATCTGTGTTTGGTTTCCTTGGTTGGTATTTCAACCTAAACACTGTCTCTGTCTATACTTGAGAAAAAGTACCATCTAAATTTCCCAGCCTGGTGTGTATGATTTTATCTTCTAAACAATCAGGACTTTTCATTTTTTGGGCTCACCAAAACTACTGAGAGGACCTTTTAATAGGTTTTTAAACATTTATATTTATCTATTTGTGAATATAATTATCAAACAAATTAAAAAAAGGAGTATGGTTTTTTGCATATTACAAGTATCCACACTTTGGACCATGCTAGCAGTATACATTCAAATTCACGTAGGGTATCTGAGTGGTTAAAATTTTTCAGATACCATACCATATAAATTGCCACATACTTTGGATTGGGGTCGAATTACTTAAGATTCATACTCCACCTCATATTGTATTGAGCCTCATACCATTTGAAACTAGGGGTGTCCATTAAAAAATCGAAAAACCGAATTGTAAAATGTAGTTAATTGAATCGATCGATTCAGTTTTGGTTTGAATTTTTTGAAAAATCAAAGAACCGGTTCAATTTTCAGTTAACTACAAAAAAATCAACCGATATATATTTATATAAATGAGTCATTGAAAAATGAGTAATTTACTCATAGTTGGGTCAGGTAGCCCGCTGTACACTCATTGTTGACAGCGGGTCCAGACCATCATAGTTAATACAAGCAGGCAGCTGTGCATTACGTGGAGTTGAACTCTGAATGATCTAATACAAACAAGACGTGTATGAAACTCACTTTATTCATGACTGGGGAACTGTGTTTATTACACGTTATCACTAGTTTGGATTGGGGTACTGGGGTAGCGCTAGCCTGACTGTCTGAGTTTGGATTGGTTTATGGTTTATTACACGTTATCACTAGTTTATTACCACACTTTTGGCCGAATCGCCGATGACAAAGGGAAAACCAAATCCCCAACTTAGAACTTATTGGCTGCATGCCTTCGGAAGGAGTCTTCTTGGTTGCCCATTCCCTTCACCAAAAGCTGTACTAGCAGGGAGAATTTTTAAACCAGATCATCTGCGTTCTGTTTCTCAATTGAAAACGCATTAATGCAACTACATTTGGATGTTATTGTCCATAGTCAATACATTTGAGTTGTATTTAGTTAGGTCCCGTTTGGTTTAATTCACGGGAATAGGGGTCTGAAATTTGATACGGAATGGGTCATTCCTATTTTAACTGTTTGGTTGGGCCGAATTAGAATTTCTTTCTCATTCCTGATGGAATGGCGTTCTCCCATTTGAGGGAATGGCCATCCCCCTCTCCCTTGGAAATGAAATCCCATTCCAGATGATTCCTATTCTCATTCCAATTCCAAAAGATTTGGATTCCGATTTAGACTAAAAACCAAATGGACCCTTAATGAGGAATGTATTGACTCAAATTATATCTCTACCCTTGCACACCCGCATAGAAATAAATAAATCTAATTTATATAATAACATAAGACCAAAGCTTGGCCCATGTAAACCTGAGCCCCGTTATAGCCCATAGGTGTAAGCCTGCCTAACCCATGAATTAACATGCATGGTGATATCTTAAATGTTGTCAAAGTCTTTAATGATATGTATACCTGAAACATGAATCTTTTGAGATATAAAACAATGAAAAATAAGTAAACTATGTGATCTCATGAACATCGGTTTTGATATAACATTACCTTAAAATTTTCAAAATGTTGTTGGATTTTAAAATTTAAGATAGAAAGTTCATTTGTTTAAGGCTATAAATGCTAATTTTTTGTCCGAATTGAATCAGAAGTTAATCTAAAAGACAGGGATAAGTGATTAACTTTTGCTACTTCAATGTTAGCAAACCCTAAGCAATAAAATTAAAATTTAATCATTCAATTCAGCCATTTCTTTGGTGGATTCTGGTTTGAATTTTTCATTTTCAACTTCCTCTGTGTATTAATTGAAATGAATCCATGTTGATACCATTACCCAGTTGAGCAATGAATCTAATTTTGCACCTTCTAAAAGAAATAGAGTATCTAGGATGCATGTCTTATTTTATGGTCTAATAACAAATTAAATTTTCACTCTACCGTTGACAGGAACCTTAGAAAAATAAAATACATGAAGAATTTCCACCTATATGATCTAGAATTCAAGAGGCATTGTAAGGAGGGGAAGCTGCCTAACTACGTGGTGATCGAACCACGATATTTCGAAAAAAAATTGCAGCCAGCGAATGATGATCACCCCCCACATGATGTTTCCGAGGGACAAAAATTGGTGAAGCAAGTATACGAAGCACTGAGAGCAAGCCCACAGTGGAATGAAATCTTATTCATCATCACATATGACGAGCACGGTGGCTTCTATGATCATGTCCCAACTCCTACTCGAGTTCCAAGCCCAGATGACATCGTCAGTCCTGAACCTTTCAACTTTAAGTTTGATCGCCTTGGTGTTCGGGTGCCCACCATCATGATTTCTCCATGGATTGAGCGAGGAACAGGTAGATGCAGTTCGAATATAGTACTGTATCAGTGGTTTGTATCAGAAGAATTAATGATCTTAGCTGTTTATTAACTTTTTATATGATTACAGTGCTGCATAGACCTTCAGGTCCACATCCTTCGTCGGAGTTTGAGCATTCTTCCATTCCGGCAACAGTGAAGAAGATATTCAACCTGAAAGAATTTCTAACAAAGCGTGATGCATGGGCTGGCACATTTGACATTGTCTTGACAAGGGAGAGCCCAAGAACAGATTGCCCAGGTGATCGTTGAATACTCTCTCTCTCTCTCTCTCTCTCTCTCTCTCTCTCTCTCTGCTGTTAGATTATAACAATTAACAACTACTGAGGTAGATTGCAGTTACCCTACCGGAACCAACTGTAGAACTGCGATCCGCTGACGCAAGTGAAGAGGCAAAGCTAAGTGAACTTCAAGAGGAGTTGGTGCAGCTGGCAGCTACACTTAATGGGGATCATAGCAAGGATATCTACCCACAGAAGCTAGTAGAGAACATGAAGGTCGTAGACGCTGCCAGTTACGCAGAAGACGCATTCAAGAAATTCTTAGAAATATGTGAAAATACAGAAAATAACGGGGCAAATGAGTCTGAGATTGTTGGTGTGCCACCAACTCCAACTGCACAGCCACCTACTTCTATGTCCGAATTCTTTCTTAAAAAACTGTTTTGTTGTTTCGTTTGAATCTGGGATTTATATCTAGAACCAATATATTCCGACTGAAATCCGTCGTCGAGCAGATGTGTTTATTACATTCGTATGTATTTATTACCTAATACTCTACAACAATATTGTGTATGTTATATTTATTTTGCTCATGACAATGTTCTCTTTAGTATGTACTTGTATTTCATTTCTGTGGTTTCTTCTATTAGTTTCTTGTACCACTGATATTATTGTATTTCACCATCTATAAATACTTGTAGCAAGAATCCAAAACATATCGAAATTCTCTTCCAAAATTCATGTTAAGTTTCTATGCAGGTTTTCTCATGCAAGCGATCAAACTGAGATTCACAACCAGAAAGAAGGATGAAAATAACGATACTATGATTAGATGAGAATACTGTGTCAATGGTTGGGTCTGGCCCAGGGTAGACCCTATCCCAAACTAGAGCTATAGACTCTGTAACAACAGGTCTAATCGATTAAAGTAAACTAGTAGAGCTGTGAATTGTCGTTTATAACTCGATTAGATGATACTAGGGCAAATGGGAAAGCAAGGAAACAATTTTGAATAATTGGGAGATTAAAAATGAAAGAAAAAATTAATATAATTTTCAATTAAAAATCGAACTTCAGCAATTTACACTAATTCTATGCTACCTCAGTCTTTGGGATAAATAACTCAATTTATTCATACTTGTTTAAGAATGGATACAAGAGAGAGCCCTTTAAAGTTTAAAATACCAATAAAGTTGGAAATGGCTCGATAATAATACCATGCAACATTTTTTTAATAATTAAAAATAAAATAAAAAGCATAGATGGTTATTAATTATCGGCCAATTCAGGATGACAAAACTTGTTGGTCTAATATGGTTTCAGGGTTCAACCCAGTGATACTTTTGGCAACATTAATTGGATCAGCATTTACTGCAGCAAAAGATTAATATAGGATTAGGTGGACCACAAAGTGGAAAGTGTTATTAAAAAACATAACGTTAGGCTACCAAATTAATAGCCACTATGTAGCATCCAACACGAACTATAGAAGGCTTTTAGACCAAATTACATAGGACCAGAGTTACCTGAAGATGAACCCAATAAACAACCTAACAAATATGCAATATCCAAGTTAAGTAAAGATGTAAAACGGGTCATGCCGTGCCCCGCAAGTCGTGCTTTCTTTTTCTGGAATATTTTGGGGGGTTGGCCCGATATGGCCCATGGCCTGAGTGGGCCTGTGATGTCCCACGAGCTGTGTTGAGCCATGAAAGGCTTATTTAAAATAAATTGAAAAGAAAACCTTAAAACTTTTATTTTATATGAATTTTGATGTATAAAATTGTTTAATTTATTAATATATTATATTATATATAGAGAGAGAGATAAATAGATAGATAGATAGGCCCAGCACAGCCCACATGACCATATCGGGCCTGGCACGACCGTCGTGCCAAGCCGGTCCAAATTCGTGCTAGGCCACAGGCGGCACAGCCCAATTTACACCTCTAATTTTACCTGATTAGTAGTAAATAATCTAAATAGTAATACACAATCTCCAAGAAATACTTTGAACATGCTGCTTGCCAATTGATATATTAAGATATAGATATCATAAAGGAAACAATATGGAAAGTCTAGTAAGATAATTAAAATGAACCTTATGACATTCTTAATTGAGTTAAGACTATGTAAATCAAATTTACGAATTATTATTTTTTTTTTGGGTTTTGAATATCGTGCATGGAAACTCTACTATCAAATATTATGATGGAAGGAAAGAAAAAATAATTGAAAAAATCCTAGTTAATTTAAACCAACAACAGCTGAAAAAAAAAATTCCAAAATAAATATATTAGCAACTTATTATTAATTAACTAAATAAGCATATAAATGATCTACTTAAGTTACTTAAATAGGTCAAATTAGAGGGGCGGTTGGTCAAGCTACAGGGGTGGCTTATATAATTTACATTAAGTAGATTGTCTTCATTTATATCAAAGTTTTGTTTAGAAAAATTATTAATTACTTACTACTAATTAGGAATAGCAATAGACAGGTTTCTGGTGGAGCCATATTCTCCCCATCCTTGTCCCCGACTTCTATCGAGGAGAAAAATCCTCGATTTTTTTAATTAAAAGCTTGCTTTAGGATAAAAGATTTATTTACAAGAAAGGAAAAAAAATCATTAATATAAATTGATTTAACACTTAACTAACATAAAAATAACCAATATGACATGAAAAATTGATATTTATCTAATATTTATAATGGCATTTGTCATTATATAGAACTGTTCTCAAATTTTGATATTCCAAGGTGGGGTTGCGGTGGGCACTTCACTCCCCATCTCAGATCAAGTCATCCCAATAAACATTATTTTTTATTATTTTGTACTTTTTGTTAATTTTAAATGACTTTACATTTAATTATAAAACAAACCATTGTTGTTGTATTAATAAAATTTAAAAAATAATTTTACAACTTTAAAAAATTAAATATGATCAAATTTAAATGGGTTTTAAATTATTGATATTTAATTCTAAATTAACAATTGTAAATGGATTTAACAAATTTAATATACATTAATAATTAAATTTGACAGTTACAAATAATTATAAATTAACTATTAATAACATATAATGTTTAATTATAAATTAAATTTTATAAAGGTATTAATTATTATTTTATTTTTAAATGGATTTAAAAATTAATAATTATTGTTTTGTTAATAAAATTAAAAAATAATTATAAGGTAATTAGATAACTAAGCGATCTAGTTTAAGTAATTTATGCTAACTTTATTAGTTAGTTCAAATCTAATTTAAATAATTGACAATCTAAGATAATTAATTAATTAGCTTATGGGATTTACTTATTAATCTAACTTTATTAAATTTATTATAAATTAGTACAATATCTAAGTTAAGAAAATCTCTAATTTAATTAATTTACGTTAACTCGGTAGTTGGTTGACCATGTAAGTTAAGTGAAATTGTTTTAAACGAAATCTAATTAAGTTATTGGGTCGTGGGTTTTTGGGCTAAGTTGGGCTAACCCTCGTCATTAAATTAAAATCATTAAATTTTAGGCCCAACCAACAAATTTGAGTTATTGGGTTGAGCCTCGTCATTAAATTATTGGGCCCAACAAACAAATGGAAGTTAATTATTGGTCCAGGTTGACCCTCATCAATCGTCATAAGCTTTAAATGGGCCATATATGACCCGTTTAGGGTCACCTTCTTGACCCGGAAAAAGAACAAGTCATTCGCTCAACAGAGCGACAACAGTGGCATAGCAGAGCTCGTTGAGTGGCTAAAATAGGCTGGTTTTCCCCATTTGATGATATTTTTTGTGCAATAGATACACAAAGGAAGAAAAAATAATATTAATTGACTTAAAAAATAAATGAAGAATGATATATATACATGGGTCGCTAATCACAGCCGGTAAGAGGAGTTGAGTAGTGGAGTGCATCTCCTCTCTCTCTCTCTCTCTCTCGAAAATCTTCAAAACAACCATAAGGAGTGTGTATCGTCCTTTGAATCACGCACAACTAATCCCCACGTTCAAGGAGAACAGAGTCGATGAACTCGGACTCTGTTCAAAAACCGTGAGAAACAGGGGATTTAATGAACCAAGCACTTACCTGTATAGAAAAGATGATGCAGGTAATGAAGTTCACAATAATAAAATCTCACTTAAGTATAGAAGTTCACTTTATGGAAGAAAAGAGAGAAGTTCTCAAAACAGGGGCATCAAGCAATCCCCCTTGGACCTGAACGAGTCACGCTACTCTCTCTCACCCTCCGTCGCCACAACGGAAGACAACCTCGCCAGTTAAAAGTTTCAATCGGTTGAACAATCTCCAGAGAGATTGAAAAAAAAAAAAAGCAAAAGATATGGACAAAATAAAGAGTAAAAAATTAGAAACTAACCATCTTCTTCCGAGCAGAAGCATTTGAAGATGACGGAGAGATCGGAGCCGGTGATGCTAATGCAACACCGGTGATTTTGAAGCTTGCCGGTGAAACTGCTAGCAGCATGTCTTATCTCGCCGTTATTGCATGTTAAAAAATGTATTGCATATGAAGGCGGAAAGCTCTTCCAATCACCGCCATTGAGAGAAAATCGTGAGAGAGAAGGCAAGGTCTGCCACTGTTACTGCAATTGTCGGAAGCAAGAGAAGGGAAAACCTAAAAAACCGAAAATGGAGGAGAGAGAGAAAGTGCGAGAGAGGTGATGTAGGAAGAGCTAAAAGACAAAAAAAAAAAAAGATTTGAAAGAGAGAGGAGGAGAGCCCGAGATTGGGAGAGAGAGGCGAGAGAGAGAAAGTGTGAGGATATGAGAGAGAAAGATTAAGAGACAGCCTCTGATCCGTTGGAGGAGTTGAAATCAACCCTCGACGAAATTACTCCCACAAGATGTTCCTAATACACGGCGGGGATGTGCTGTGAGAGGTTGTGGGGTTGATTTGGTCTCCCGTTGGAGACCAAGCGAGACTCGCTCTTAATGTCAATTGGAGAGTGAGTCTCTTTACACGCGAGACTCTCTCTGACAGTCTCTGATGCGTTGGAGACCAAGCCGAACACTGTCGAGAGTCTTGGAGAGTCTTTTTCACACGAGACTCTGTCTGACAGTCTCTGATCCATTGGAGACCAAGCCGGTTAAATGCGAGACTCTCTCTGACACGCGAGACCAAAGCCGGACACGTCTCGAGAGTCTGTCCATTGGAGACTTTTTTCACACGTGACGCTCTCTCTCTCTCACAGCCTCTGATCCGTTGGAGATTCAATCGGACACGTGTCGAGTATAAAATCTTTAAAACGATAGACGTGTCGAACATTTGGGGGTCACCGTATACCCCCAAATATAGATAGATAGATTATAATTCACAGCTCTCCTATTTTTAACCAGTAATTTGGCAATAAAACTAATTTACTTCCATGTCTTTCCTCATCATAGATTTTTATTAACACATATTTAGTTTCTTATTTGAGAGAATTTAATTTGGCAACGTGTGTGTAATAAAATTGGACAGTCCATGTCAATATATCTTTTATTTGAGAGAATCTATTTATTTATTTTTTTCATTTTTCAAATTTTTCTTTTTTGTTTTAAAACTATAAAAGGTAACCATTGCTTATATCTTGATAAGAATAATAAAGTTGCACAATATTAGTGAGAAAAACCTATGGGTTTTCTAAAGCCTTTTATTTTAATGCATGTTATTATTATATTTAAAAAGACATTTAAGAGAGATGGAGGAAGGGAGGGAGTACTAATAATTATTATTGTATTTTAAAATTTACGGTATTAAAATAATTACAAGATTTTTAATAATTAATAGTGTTTTTATTAATTAACAGTATTAACCGTATTTATTAAAAAATGTATTTATTCATTAATAGTACTTTTAAATAATTATCAGTATTTATTCAAAAACAGTATTAAATAATGTATTTAATAAATAACTAAAGTAATTTTTAATTAATCATATTAAATGTACTTTTAATTAATATCGTATTTTTAATAATTGCAATATTATTAAATAATCAAAAATTATTTATTAAAATACTAAATTTATTAATTAACATAGTAATTTTAATAATTACAATATTGTTTATTAAAAATAATGTATTTATTTATTAACAATATTTTTATTAATTATAATATTAATAATTAACCATATTTTATAATATTTTCAATAATTGTAGTATTATTAATTACGGTATTTATTAATTAATAGTGTTTATTAAAATACTGTATTTTATAGTACTAATATTATTTATTAATATTATTTACTTATCATACTTTACAATATTAATATTTTTAATTAATTGATTAACTATAATTTTTTAAATTGTTAATTATATTTCAAATTATAAGTAATATAATTAAATTTTAAACAGTAATTGAAAGTAATTTTATTTAAATATAATTTAAGCTATAAATAGCAGAAAATTACATTTAATGAACAAAAATTATCGAAGAAAATAACCAAAAAAGGATTAACATGATTTTCAATAAATATGATAAATTACCAAAAATTAAAAATATAACCATTAATAAAGCTACACACTATTATGCATTTTGAGAGAAGTATTTATCTATTTTCTCAATTTTTTGCATTTTCCTATTTTCTTTTGTTTGAAAAATATAAAAAATTAATCATTGCTTATATTGATTAGATTAATAAAGCTACACACTATTATGAGAGAGACCTTTGGGTTTTCCAAGACTTCTTATTTTAATATATGTTAATACATTTCAAAAAGACATTTAAGAGAAAGAGAAAGGAGGGAGGGAGTAGTAATAAAAATTACTATATTTTAAAATTTACAATGTTAATAATAATTACAATATTTTTAATAATTATAGTATTTTTAACTAATTATTAGTATTTATTCAAAAATAGTATTAAATAATGTATTTATTAATTAATATAATGAAACTATAAATTATTAAAAAATAGTATTAACATTTACAGTATTTATTGATTAATAGTAATTAAATAATTATAGTATTTTATTCATTAACAATATTAACTATACTTTTAATTAATACAGTATTTTTAAAAATTACACTATTATTAATTAATTAAAATTGTTTATTGAAATACTGAATTTATTAGTTAATAGTATTTTTTATTATTAAAGAACCTTTAATAATTACAATATTTTAATTACTTAACATTATTTATTAAGAATAATTTATTTTTTATTAATAATACTTTTAATAATTATAGTATTAATAATTAACCATATTTTATAGTATTTTTAATAATTGTAGTATTATTAATTAATAGTGTTTATTAAAATACTGTATTTTATGAAAAAATCTTAATATTTTTTATTAATTCATTAATTAACAGTTTTTAAATTGTTAATTAATGTAAGCTATAATTTAAATTGTATTTTCAATAGTATAGTAGAAGTTGTTGATAACAATTTTAGATGAATTCCTTGTGAAGAAAAGTAGAAGAAGTTGAAAGGTTTCAACAGTAGAGAAGAAGAGAGGTGAAGAGAAGAGAGTGAGATGTCACCTAGAATAGAATAGTTTTGGCCGCCAACCCCTCTTTGAATTATATACTTGATGAATCAATTTTTCGTGAAGTATCAATTTTTCGTGCTAAGTACCTCGCCATTTGGTCTGCTTCCAAGTGACCGATGACTCAGAGGCCAAAGTGGAGAACTTTTCCTGGATGAGGACCTGGATGCTGAGTTGGGGTCAGGTTAGGTGTCGAGCTAACTGAGCCGAGCTGGGTAGGTTAGGTGCCGAACTAACTGAGCCGAGCTGGGCAGGTTAGGTGCCGAACTGACTGAGCTGAGCTGGACAGGTTAGGTGTCGAACTGACTGAGCCGAGCTGACTAGAGCGCCGAGCTAGATTGATTGTTGAGCTTCATAGTTCTTTAGAGACTTGCAATGAATCAATGTCAGAGGACCTGGGGTGGCTAACCCGGCGAGGTCGCCCCGATGCTTAAGTCAGTACTCTCATGGTAGACTGTGAGCTAAAAATCACAAAGTATGAGAGCTAGAATATGCTTACTTGCCCCCTATGCCATTGGGGTTGGTGCCTTTATATAGGCATAGTTTGGCGTGGGCTTCACGCACCGCATCCGAGATTTTCGAGAAGTCATCTAAGTGGTCCGAGATTCCCTGAGGCAACCGCCATGCACGTTGACCACCCTCCAGATCATTCAGTACGTGGGCCAACTCCCAAGGATCGTGGGAGTGTTGGGATATGCATGCCGAATTAGTCAGCGAGCACATCTCACGAGTCGCCAGGTTGGCACCTGTGCCAGGCCACCAGTTTGGCACCTGTGCCAAATCGCCAGTTGGGACACTATCATCTTGGCTAAGGCAAGTTGTTGCCTAAGTGGTTCTAGGTGTCACCTAGTTGTTCCGAGATGCCATGTGTCACAATGTCATTTTATGGCCAAATCCGCCCTCATCATTTGCCCCCCACTCCTGAGTTGAAAGTAACTTGGCAAAGGGAGTAGATTGCTCCTTTTGGCCTGGAATGATTAATTCGATGAAATCGTAAGCGTCGATCCAATTTGCTTCTCAGGTCAGAAAAGTCCAAGTGTTTGCAGCCTTGTGCAGGACCTCGCCATCTTTATTTTCGGGGCATGAGAGCAAATTCATCTGCTCGAGGAGAGGTGGAGCAGGTACCCCAAGGACATCTACCTTATTAGGGATGTGACCATCGAGAGGTTCTGCGATCTGGCTAAGTACCTCATGAGTGAAGCTCATCATGTCGTCCTTAAGAGGGGGTTTTGCGTGATTGCTTTATCAGGTTGCTCCACCTAGGTAGACTTCGACACAGCGTTCTTCGAGCTGGCCCTAGCCAGTGAGTTTGATGCAGAGCCTACAACCGAGGTGGAGGTCGACTGTGAAGAAACCAAGTTTGCATCCATAATGGTGCTGAGAGCGAACTAGTCTTTCATTTGTTTTCTTGTGTTGAATACGAACTGCTTTAGCCTTTAGGCTCTAGGAGCAACTCGCAGTCTACTCTCCTTACCCTTGATTTTGCTCATGCCGAAGAGGCGATCGGGTCTTATGTGGTGCCAAGGTCTTTTATTAGTTTGACACTTTAGCCCTTAGGCTCTGGGAGCGACTCATAGTCCACTCTCCTTGATTTTGCCCATGTCGAAGAGGAGACTGGGTCTTATGTGGTGCCGAGGTCTTTTATTAGTTCGGCACTTTAGAGCTACGGCTGCGCTGCATCAACCTCGTTAGTGACGCCGGTCGCCCGCTCCTACAAGAAGCTATTGGGAGCTCAACATACGGGGGCAGCACTACTGACTTTAGGTCACCAACTCACATAGGAGACTTGGAAGGCTCGACCGGCAAGGGCGTCCGTGCAGTCTGTTGGCTGCTAACTCCCCCGGAAGCCATGAAGAGCTCATCTTGTAGAGGGTACCTCGCGAAGAGTACTAATGAGGCTTTATCCGAGTTGAAATAAAGTCAGCAGAGCTGCTTAGTCTATTGGCCATCAACTTCCTACATAATCTTTGATTTCATAAAAAATGGAAACTAGAAAGTGAGAGCTTTAGTTTCTATAAGGTTAGAACTTAGCTTTCTGGAAGAAGAGGACTTAGCCTTTTAGAGGATGAGAACTTAGCTTTTTGTAGCGTTTCCCATAGACGACGCCAATTGATGAATCAATTTTTCGTGAAGTATCAATTTTTCGTGCTAAATACCTCGTCATTTGTTCTGCTTCAAAGTGGCCGATGACTCAGAGGCCGAAGTGGAGAACTTTTGCTAGATGAGGAC